CTCCCTGCGCTGTGAATGTTTACATGTTATGTTCAATTAAACCATGACAACATGTAATGTTTGTGTATTATTATTTTCAGCAGACTGTGTTTTTCTATTGTTGTGACTTAGATGACGTTCAGAGCACATTTTATGACCAATTCATGCAAAATTCCGCGTTATCCCAAGGGGTTCACATACTTTTTCTTGCAACTGTATGGCTTACTTGTTTGTGGATTTGGGCATTATGAAGATTCACTCAGTATGATTTGTAAATAAAAGTGATGGCATGTTTTTGGTGCCTCCAAGTCAATCTTGGTTCCTGGAAATTTTCTAGTCCTGACTAGTCCTTAATCAGGGACTAGGCAAAATTTTTAGAACTGGTTTGCCATGGCCTTCTTTCTAGAGCTGAGACAACATGCCTGGCTTTGTGCCCTAAGACAGGACTAGAATACAGAATTTCCCAGTTTCTAGCCTTGTATCTTAACCATTACACCAAAATGTTTCTCAACTAAAGGCTGTATTTGTTGCATTCATTGATTATTCAGTCAATTAAGCCGTGCTTAATCAAATCTAAGACTTAAATTTGTCATTTGTCAACATTGTGTCACACAGCCTGATATTTCAAAAAAATAAAATTTGACAATCAAATATGTGGTGAAATTTACATTTTAAATACTGCCTTACTTAGAAGCAGGTATATAGAATGATGGGGAAATTGGTTATTGGTGGAAATATAATGGCTTTTTAACTACAGGCAATAATAATGTGTCCCATAATATATTACATCTGAGACAGATGAGAATGTAGAATTGAGAATTAATAACCTTTCTTTTGCTGAATTACAACTCCTAACAATAGCCAAACTGACTAAACCTACTACGGTACATATAGCAGTTTTGTCCTCACCCACAATTTTAAAACTTTAAAATCTTGACACAGATCAAATGCCAATATAGGTAGTCCTTGACTTACAATCACAACTGAGCTTTAAAATTCTGTAATAAAGCAAGAAGGAATAGAAGATATCACAGAGGAGATACCATTTAAAAGTATTAAACTATCTATTGCCATTAACTGACTCAGTTAAAAGGAAAAGAGCCTGCAAATTGCTACACTTCTTTGTTTGCTGATATTGTTCTTCTATATATTGGGTATGATTTCTTTGGTATTACCTTATACTATACTACTGAGGAGGCAGAGATTTAATATTACTTATTCTTCAAGCTTTTATAGCATACCAAAATAGCAGAGGTAATACTAAATACTACGGTTATGTCTTTGGTGAATGTACTACCGTAGTATGCAGCATGTAAATTAGCTATATCCTAAACTAACCAGAATCTGGAATGATGCCTTCCAGAAAAAGATTGTGGAGAGTGCATGTATTCTTAGCATCATCAGGAAAAGTTGAGAAAATTTCCAGTCTATCTCTCTGAAGAACTTGCTCATTTTAAACAACTATTTAAGCTATATTGCCAAATTCTGGTGTACTGTAGTATAGAGCAACTTCAGATAATCTTTCACCTTAACGTATCTGTTATGTTACATATATGCTGAATTATGTGACTTATTTTTATGGTTATCACATGGTTTAGCATGTTGTAAAAACCCAGCTGATCCATGTATTAAATTGGTTAAACCAACCATAACTGAACATATTGCATAAACCGAGCCAAATATATTGAACTGGGAGCCATTTATCTGCAATCCAAGAGGTCCCAGCAGGAAGTTTTTAAAGCCAGTTCATTCTCTTATGTGAAAGTTATTTTCTTTCACCCCAATCTCTTTTCTGTTGCCTATCTACGGAAAGAAACAGGTTTTTCTTGCTGTTTAGGTTCACAATAGCCCCTATATTTAAAGACTGTTCAACACCTCTGATCTCTAGCCACAAAACAATGTTTACATAGTTTGTTAGTACACTTACAGAGGAAATCTGAGCAAAGCAATTAATAGCATTCTGCAATAGCGTTTAATAAGAGAAATCCTACACAAACATGTTCCAGAAGTTTTTCTTTAAGCTTAGGAATTTTCTGTAAGAAAAGTTTAGGAGGCAGCACAATTGAAACAAATGATTGCAGCTGTTACCCCCTCAGTGAAAGTAAAATCACTGCCTCCAAACTAGTATATTATAGCAAATGACATGCAGCAAGCTTTTCGGGAAACCAAATGGAACAAAATGATGCTGGTTATCTGAAACGCCAACGTTGTCTGGTAACTGCAAAGGTCACTTTTTTAATCGCAGTTCCTCTTTAACTATGGTTACCCCAGAGGAAGCGCAGAAAAGCACTTGGAAATCTCAATGCGAAAGCACTCTTCAGGAAGTCGTGCAAATGTGTATTTAAGGTTCAACATGGCTGCATTGCTTGCCAAAGAGGAAACTACTAGGGAACCCGGCCACAGCTAGGGTTGCCAGGTGTCCACTATTTGAGTGGACAGTCCACTTTTTTTCACATTATGTTCACTATTTTTTTTCACAAAATAGTGGACATTTTTTTTTAATTCAAAAGCTTTATGATGAAATGGTACGTCATCTAAAGCTGTACAGCAGGGGTAGTCAACCTTGGCTCTTTTATGACTCGTGGACTTCAACTCCCAGAATTCCTGAGCCAGCACAGCTGGCTCAGGAATTCTGGGAGTTGAAGTCCACGAGTCATAAAAGAGCCAAGGTTGACTACCCCTGCTGTACAGTCTACTTTTTTTTTTACTACTTAAACCCCCCCCCCGTTTGTCCGCTATTTTTTGGAAGCAGACCTGGCAACCCTAGCCACAGCCCGGGGCAATTCCTTCGCAAACCGTCCCTCCCCAAAAGTCCTGCGGAGCCGCAGCTGTCCCTAGCAAAGAGCGGCGTTGCAGGAGGGCTGGCACTTACCGGCATAGATCCTGGTAATTGAAGGCGTCTTGGGCCGCTACGGTGGTGGGGAGGTCTCCCTTCTGGCCCGGGAGGAGAAGCAAGAAGAGGAGGAGGGAAGGCAGCCAGCAGAGCCGGAGCGCTGCAGCCCCGCACGCTGCGGCGAACGCGGCGCGTCCCATGGCAGGCCGAGGGAAAGCTCCGCGAAGGTTACTCGGCTAACATGAGCGAGCAGAAAGCGAGAAAGCGCCCTGGCGGAAGAGTCACGTGACTCCCTCCCTCCCTTCCTCCCTCCGCGCAACGCCGTTCAGCTGACAGGCCCGACTGGCGCCTGTCACGTGCTCGTAGTCATGTGAGGCGAGGCGCGAGGATTGACGGTAGCGGGGAGCGGGTGGCTCGATCAGGGGCGGGGCGGGGCGGCGCTGGCTCGCGCTTCTTTGCGAACGGGCCCTCGGGCTCCCTCGCCTGGGCGCCCGCTTTGATTGGCTGGCGCCTATTTTTCTCAGGAGGAAAGAAGGTCCCAATAAAGGAGAACCCCCTTTTTTTTTTTTTTTTTTTTTTTAAGCTCAGGGTTGAAATGAGGGGGGCCTTGGTGCTGTCTGAGCTTGGGGTTGTTGTTGTTGTTTTTTTTCTCCTGGCAGACATTTTATTACCCATCGGTACTAATCCGGGTTAGAAGGAAAATCTCCCCGGTTGCCTCGGCTGGGAAGGGCTAATTCAGGGGTAGGCAACCTTGGCTCTTTTATGACTCGTGGACTTCAACTCCCAGAATTCCTGAGCCAGCCAGGCTGGCTCAGGAATTCTGGGAGTTGAAGTCCACGAGTCATAAAAGAGCCAAGGTTGCCTACCCCTGGGCTAACTGATGCCTGCGAGGTGGCCGTCTCTTGACGGGAGGCGAGAAATGTGTATAAGGGAGCGAGCCACGGGCTTAAAGAGAGGTTCAGCTCTATAGAGGAAGGCCATTGCCCCAGAGAGCGGTGTCCTCTGCCGAAGGCGCATCTCGCTTCTGTTATGTAAAAGGATGGTGCAGATGAACGGACTTTGCAGTTAGGAACACTGCTGAATTATTGCTAGCCCAATTTAGGTCGGTATTTTGTGGCCAGTCAGATGCCTCTGGGTATCCCAGAGGGAAGTGCAAACACAACTCCCTCCTGTAATTGGTATTTGAAGGAATATTGCCCCCAGCGAGGTGCTTCAAATTTATTATTTGTTTGACCTATCTTTTACCAAGTAACACCATCCAAGTTAGTGGCGGTCATCATGTATTTCAGTTAGCTGAATTGTAGCCCCGTAGGGAGATAGGCGGCAAACAAATTTAACAAATAATAAAAATAATTATGTGCTGTGTGAAAAGGTCCAACCAGTCACGTTCCTCAGGTGACTCTTGTCCACGTGATCACAAATGGATATTGTAATATATTGCATGATTTATCAATGTAAGGGTTTCCCTGCACTGAACCTAATTACATAATGAATAGGATATTGTGGTTTGGTACTATTTGCATAACGCTTGTGATGTATAAATCTACTTGGGTAACATGCTAAGTTGTAATACGATTTGCTTCTTTGTCGCCTTTGAGGTGTATAAACAAAAGGTATGCAATTTATATAAACATCCTCACAATGTGTTCAATTACAGTATAATTAATAAATATGTATTTTTTGGGTCTCTCATCCTTGCCAGTACATTTCTTTGCTTTGGTTTAGTATGCTATGATGCAAGCAATGTGATGTTGTTTCTTGATGATTACATTTTTGCAGCAGCATTCTGCAAATAGGAAACAATTGGGCAAGCAACATTTGTACACATCTGTGCCCTTGTTTGCCTCTTGTCTGAATATTATGGAAAACATGTATACCTATACAATACGGGCTTACAGGAAGATGGAGCAAACATAAAATAACAGATCTAACTGTTTGGAAGTTCCCAAAAAATCATAAAAATGATGATGGGCTGAGCATTTTATTTTTTTGGGAATATCAATGTTGCAGAAAAATTGTTATAAGATATTTCTTTTCTGAGAACCATTTCAATCCCTTATAATGCCTTTTAGTGATGGCCATCTAGTTAGATGTTTATGCAAACACAAATTAGGCACCTTGCATTTTTCCATACTGTATATTGAAATTTGTCAGCAGAAAATATCCATATGAGTTTTTGAACAAAAAAATAATGTACTGTTATACATATTTCAGAATAGCTGGTTTTATGAGTTCCCAAGTTGAGAATTTTCCAATATTAAAGTTGTGGTATCTCCAAATTCCAGGATGCTTAGCTAGGAATCTTATACAACATTTGTGAGACTTTCCATTTAACCTCATAACCACTGGTTCAACTGGAGCAGCTTCTTCAGAATCAGATTCAAATGAGTCCTGGTCCATGACAAGCAATAACTACTCATTTCCCTCATAAAAGAGGAATGTGCAGAGATTCTGAACCTGCAATATTGTACAAGGTGTCATTCTCCAGCATGATTGGATGGAGAATCCACTAGTGGGTTGTGTTAATCTTCCTGCTCCAATAAGACTAGTCTGGAAAGTTGCCACGCCTCTGCTTTGCAAGGATCCTTCCAGTTTACGACTTAGTCTCTTGCTCTTCAGACGTGTGTTTCGTGCTTCCTTCCAGGATTAGCAGCTGGTTGTATCATCCCTAGTGGATTTTCCTTATTAACTTAATTACAATAATAATTATTAATTCATCTTACAATAATAATTACAATGGTTATAATGGATAATTGGATTAATTTAAAAAAGGGGGGCTGAGGGGGATTCCCTTCCCTATTCAGGAGTTCTTGCAGACTCTACCTGAAGACAATCAGGGTGGGTTAGCTTCAGCGCGAGCTCCCTCGACGATCCAAAAATAATCAGCTGATCGGTGCCGGGCTGGGAAGCCCAGCGCGAGCTCCCGATGACCTAAATTGAAGCAGCTGATCGGCGCCGGTTGTAAAGAGACTTGAAGGCCGCCAATCTCTCCCTCGCTCTGACGGAGCACGCCAAAGCTGGAGGCAAACTAACTTAGTGATCGTGAGACGATCCTCTGGAGTCTCGTGGCCGTTTTTTGCTTCCATCAAGCGCTGCCTTGACACAGCGCCAGGGGAAAGCCACTGGTTCAGCTGGAGCAGCTTCTTCAGAATCAGATTCAAATGAGTCCTGGTCCATGACAAGCAATAACTACTCATTTCCCTCATAAAAGAGGAATGTGCAGAGATTCTGAACCTGCAATATTGTACGAGGTGTCATTCTCTTTCCCAGGCCCCAAGAAGGCCATTCCACTAGAATTTTTAAAGAACAAAAAAGATGAGCTATGATAAGATACGTGCTCAAAAAAGTCAGTGAAAGTGATTGAAATTGATAAGGAATTCTCTCTCACTTTTCTCCTCCATTTTCCATTCTCTGTGGAAAAAAGAAAATAAGAATGGAGAAGACCCCATTCTTCCACTGATGCAGGTTTATGTCCCATTTTCACTCAGAATGTTTGATCAATTTTGGGTGCTTTTTACCTTGGATCAGAAGATGGAACAGAACTGCTGGTCCCAGGAGCATCCATGGGTGGAGCTGGTCAACATTTTGAGATGGTGGCCACAGCTGCAAAATTAAAGCTGTGTTATCTTTTTTTACATGTATCACATGCATGATGCATGTAAAAATGCCAATATTTAATTGCACAGTCAAGATTGCCATCTTGAATTTTTTATGACCCCCCTCCCTGTGAATTTACAGAGGATTGATCCTCTGTAAATGCTGCAGCAGTGAACTAATTTTCAAGTTCAAAAGGCCATTAATAGATATGGCTCAAGATGGCGCCACCAATGGCAGCCTTGGTGAAATGCTCTCCAATAGTTTTGATATTTTTATTTTCTGTATCTCACTGCAGATTACATATGATATTACTTTGTTGTTTGTATGTACACTGAGAGCTTATGCACCAGAGACACGTTCCTTGTGTGTCCAATCACACTTGGCCAATAAAGTCTACTCTACTCTACTCTACTCTACTCTACTCTACTCTACCCTACCCTACCTTACCCTACCCTATCCTACGCTACCCTACTCTACTCTACTACTGCAAGAAATTCTCTATAGTATATCATGTGAAAAAAATAGTCAATCCTATAGATCTTACTCAGATTTAAGTTCTCAATCCTTTCTACTGTTATTCCCATTATTAGCCCATTCCCTGTGTTAGCCCATTATTCTTGATGCAAAACATACCTAGGGAGTATACATGCATAATATTTCTGATACCTAGAGCGTTCACATAAAAGCTATCATGGGTGTGTCAGCAAGTGCCAGATGTGAACTAGCTTGAGGAAAAAAAATAGAGTTTTGTTTCTTCCTCTTCCCATATGATTTCATGAGTTTTCTTCATTGCCAAACTCGCTCTGCTGAGCACTGACAAATAAAGACCAGCACTGGCCACTTGTCAGATTGTGAGCAGATAAAGATGTGTGAGTAATGTCTTCATTCTGCTGCTAGCTAAACTTTATTTTCCTTCTGTCACCATTTGGTAAGATCGTAAGTTGGCACTTGACTCTCTAGAAAAGAAATGTTTCAGAACTTTACACCAGATAATGAAGGGTAAGTAATATTATATTCATTTGATGAGTAAGTATGTTAGGGTCCAAAGTATAGCCTGACTTATTCCTGTCAGAAAATGCTCTCTTTGGTCTGTTCTTGCACCACCTTCTTACACATTTTTCTATTCTTGCACAATCTTCCTGTGTTTCTGCTATTGCGGTTATTTATCTATTTTTTTTTCTTCCCTATTATATTGATGTGTGCATTAACAAAATAGCAAGTACAGAATTTCAGAAACCTGTAATATAATGTCTTATATTTATGAAGATCTATTTTTCTGACAAGAAAGAATGCCACACCATCAGATAATGTGAGTTCTTCAAAGCATAAAAGGAGAAAAATATAAGGAAGGAGGCGATTGTGCAAAATAAGAAATATATTATTTCAGCTCTTTTTCTTTTCATTGTGTTTATTGTTCAACCTATCCGCTGCTTTGGGGATATGAGAAAATATAAAATTGATTGAAGGTTCCAAGATGTGATTGAGAACTCCCTATATTGGGGGTAGCTTTATTTCCAAAAACTGGTGACTTAAAAATATTACTGGTTTATTCCTACCTGAATAGTTTAGGAAAGACCCTTGTGTAATAGATTCAGTATCTGCTAAGATCCAATTGGTATCTTGCCTCACAAAGAACCTACATTGGTGTAGCTCCATCATTAGGAAAATTTGTTCTGATTCCTTTTTGTCCCCTGCTTTTAACTGTCTTGAAAGAGTACAGATAAGAGCAACAAAGATGATTAAGGGACTGGAGGCTAAAACATATGAGGAACGGTTGCTGGAATTGGGTATGTCTAGTTTAATGAAGAGAAGGACGAGGGGGGTGACATGATAGCAGTGTTCCAATATCTCAGGGGCTGCCACAAAGAAGAGGGAGTCAAGCTATTTTCCAAGGCGCCTGAAGGCAGGACAAGAAGCAATGGGTGGAAACTAATCAAAGAGAGAAGCAACCTAGAACTAAGGAGAAACTTCTTGACAGTTAGAACAATTAACCAATGGAACAACCTGCCTCCAGAAGCGGTGAATGCTCCAACACTGGAAGTTTTTAAGAAGAGACTGGACAGCCATTTGTCCGAAATGGTATAGGGTTTCCTGCCTGAGCAGGGGGTTGGACTCGATGACCTCCAAGGTCCCTTCCAACTTTATTATTATTATTATTATTATTATTATTATTATTATTGACCGATGAAGACATTTTTGGGAACTCTAAATTTTTACCTTTTTGTAACACTTCAGTTGGCTTCATAAAGCATTGCTTCTATGGATTTTGGCTTTTCATTTTATCATGGCCCATAGAACAGTATTTCTTTGCAGTATCTTGTCCATAGCTATTCTTCATTCATAAGTTAAGGATTTTCTCATTCTTGTTGGTATATGGTTCATGTACCCATACTGTGGATAACATTCTCTCACTTCATTCTATCCTTATTCAAATGCACACCTCAGTATTTACATAAATTCTGCCTGTCTTACCTCATATTTTCTTCTTTTTGGAAAGAAAAGAAGAATCCCCCCCCATTCACTCTCTCTCTCTCTCTCTCCCTCCCTCGACCTCTCTCTTCTTAGAGGACAAGGGAGCTAATTAATTCATCTGAGAATATCCTTTGGGAAAATGATTACTTCATTGATTCACTTTTTTAAAAAAATTCAGTATGAGCCATTATGGGAAATGTAAGAGAATAACAAAAAGGAACAATGTCTGCAACTTATTTTGGGGGCAAACTAGAATAATCAGTTTCCCAGAGATACTGATTTAACCAGAAGCTCAGTTCACACATTGAGCGAAGCTATAATATGGGTTATTTGGGATTAGACTGTATTGTAATATGAATCTAGCTGTTTGTTGTGTTAACCACTGTTTATGGCTTAGTGATATGTAATGTTGAACCCAGCCCATGTTGGCTTATTTAGCAAATTATGGCTGAAAAACGAAGTATACCTTAGTGCACAAAAAAAAAAAAAAGAACTCCAGCACTTCCAAATTTCAGTTATATATTTTGAGAAATCCAGAAATGCCCATTAACATACTGACAGCACCTGTGTTTGCCTAGCGATGTGCTGTTTCATGCAAGATGAATATTGGCATGAATTTGTCCTCTGGAGGCTTTACCTTCCTTTTCAGGATCACCTAAGAAATACAGTGAATGTATAAACTCATCTCATGAGCCCTTTAGCTTTTTTAAAATGTTATTTCATTTCTTTCACTTTTCTTAAATTGCACTTCAGAAATCTGTATATGCATGCATTCACATCCCAAATATGTTTATCAATTATTTATTGCACATATGTCCTACCTTTTTTTAATGAACATAAAAGCTGACTTACATGAAGCTTTCCACATTTCATTCTCACAGCAAAAAGACGTGTGAGGTGAGGTGTGAGGCTAAGATAGGAACAGACTAGCCCCCAGGTACCCAATGGGCCCCAAGGCTGAGTGGAAACCTGAAACAGAGACCTCCAAGTCCTTCAGCCATTTCCTTATTCTGTGATCCTTTTCATCAGAAAGTAATTTAGAAAGGCCAGACCAGGAGTCAGCAGGAAAAAGCTTGTACTAAGATGCTAGAATTCTAAGCAGCTCAGGAAAAAGTTATTTTTTTTCCTCTTTCCCTGCTTTTCTCTTGCCTAAAAGCTAATGCCAAAGTCAGATCATTAGATAAAGAGGTAGAATACCAAAACAATGATTAAAGAGAAGGAACAAGTTAAGATGATTAAGAACTGTTTGAAAACCCCTTCCATTTATAAATGCATCTATATAGATATCTATTGGCTTGTTTAACCAATAGTAAAGTACAGGGGTAGGCAACCTTGGCTCTTTTATGACTCACGGACTTGGCTCAGGAATTCTGGGAGTTGAAGTCCACGAGTCATAAAAGAGTCAAGGTTGCCTACCCCTGGTATAGTAGAACTGTATAGTAGAACTAAGCATTAATTATTTCCACGAGAAATACTGTAAACTATAAATATAATTTTAGTTTGTAGAAGTAGTTGTAAGTATGTGTCTGCATACATGCCTATCCTTTCCCCATCATCCTACCCATTACATCTGTTTATAGAACTTGGCCTCTATTCTGTCATTAGATATCCTGCATGCAGTTTTGATTGCCTGCCTATTGGCAGTGGTTGGACTTTCTTTGAACCTGGTAAAAAGAGCCACTGAAACAATTACAGGGGTGCCTTCTGATGTTTTCTGGGAAGTTGTTGACCCTGTGGAAGTACTGTATAGGCAGAGGTCTCTATGATCTTACTCTGCACTTCTGCATTGGAACCCTGCTTCACTCAGCTGGTGAAAAGGGCCAGAGAAGTTGACTCCAAACTTCAGTAGTACTTTTTGGGAACAAGGTGGGGTTTCAACGCCTTTGATATTCCAGAGTTCCTGGCAGCAGTTCTTGAGAAATTTAGTGAAGGTCTTTCTCAACCCTGTTGAGAGATTCTAGGGATGCTCTGTCTCTGAACGTCCATGTTAAGTAATCAAAGGACTAGTAGCGTAACGATTTGCCCCACCTACATAACTCAGTGCAATATTAGTCTTTCTAATTTACCAACAGAATTGCATTAGAATTATGGATATGGTTTTACGAACTAAGTTTTGAAATTAAAAAGGCTTGTTAGGAATGTTGGGAAATATATTCTCTGCAGATGTAGGCAGTACATCAGCTACTAAGTATGTTCCCTAAATGTGTTTTCTTCATTTTCATTCTTTTTCCTCCTGCAATGCTTTTACTCCTTTTATTAAATTTCCAGTGTCACTCCAAATTTAGAGATTAGTCTCCTGTGATAAGTAGATCCCAGAGTTTGAGGAGTTTTAGAATCCCTACAAAATATTTGAATATTGCCCTTCATTTTGGGGTCATGGGTTTCTCATCTTAAAACATTCCTCAGCTAAGATTTTGAAAACATTTTCCCTTTTTTGGGCTGAACAGCAAAGGCCCGTATGCCTGCCATCAAACCTAGGGCTCTCCCCTATTGGGAAATATAATGTACATTTCAGTAGAGCACATGAATTTTTATGACAGATGGGATTGCTATTTGAGCCTTGAAGATCAGGCAAATATTTCAGCAAGAGCTGGACTGAAACGCCCTTGCCAAACCTGTATCAAATGGGTAGATAGGCAATTTCTAGAGAAGGAGAAAATTTCTACAACTTTTTCAAGAGCAAGCTTACATTAATGGCACCATTACTAAAAAAAAAAAAAAAAAAAGGAAGGTATTTCTTTATGTTGCCTTCCTTTGGGATTTCGTTGAAACCTAGTACATCTGGAAAACTATAGATGTCTAGAACAGTGGTTCTCAACCTGTGGGTCGGGACCCCATTTGGGGTCGATCGACCATTTCATGGGGGTCACCAAGCAAGGCTGTCCGCCATTTTTTTTGTCCGCCATTTTTCCCCCTTTTCCGGCAGGTGCCTTACCTCCCTTGGGCTGGGCCAGCTGGTGGTCGGCCTGCTCCGTCTCTGCTGCTTGCCAGCTATGCCTCGGCCGGCGCAGGGGGCGGAACCACGCATGCGTGGCGCTCCCGGGCAGGGAAAGTCCTCGACTTACGACCGGTTGGGTAGTCCTTGACTTACAACCGGTTTAGTCCTTGACTTACGACCGGTTTAGTCCTCGACTTATGACCGGTTGGGGTCGCGGCATTAAAAAGGTTGAGAACCACTGGTCTAGAAAGATGAGGTGTAATCCAAAACAGGACATTCAACCATGTTGGTGACTTCTTAATAACTAAGTGGCGATATCTGCATGTCACAAATGAGTCAAGGGGGGAGGGGAATAGTGTCTACTGCAGTCGCCTACATCCAACCAGATGTGGGATTTGTGTTAGTTATTTTTAACACCAAACAACACTAGATATGTCTTGTGCTGAACTAGCCTTCCATGATCAGGCAGATCCTGCAAATATTTCATAGAGGGTTCACTGAAGGTTCACCTTCAACAGTGTTAAGGTGCCTCTGAACCAGATGGGTTATTGGATTTTTGTTTCAGGGAGTTTAGGAAATCCCAGGTTATCAGCTATCTTTCTGCAAAGAGCTCTTGGTTTTGAGTGGCACACCCGAGGCCATCGGCTTCCTGGTCACGGTCTATTTACTCCAGCTTAGAACAAACTGAAGCAGTTGTGCCTTGCAAACAG